CCCGCAGCCCCTTCATCCCCGGAGGTGCCGGCGCTCACCCGCGGGGCCGGGCGTCCCTCATAACGCCCGAGGACACCGCGGGGATCCTCTCCTACAGCCTGTCCCGGCACAAGCGCGGCCGGGGCAAGATGGCCCAGCCCCTCCGGATCTGACGTGTCCAACGCGGTGCCCACCGCTTACCTGGAGAGGCTGTGCCAGTGGTTTTCTTCTCATGGTGAAGAATTGTCCTTTTGTGTCCAGCTGGAATCCCCCCAGGAGCAATGTGTACCCACTACCCTTTGTCTGCTCCAGGCAGCTCCTCACAGGTCACTGCTATTAAAAGCAGCTCCACCTTCTGTGTGTCTGCCCTTCAGGCACTGACACATGGTGATGAGGTCTCTCCTGAGCCCGGATCTCCCTTCAGACCTTGAGAGGGCTTATGAAGACAGGCAGAGAGAGCTGGGGTCGTTCAGCCTGGAGAAGGGAAGGCTCCAAACCATCGTGCAATTCTCAAACCTGAACAGACTCCATTCTCTCTGCCTTTACTTGTGTGACGGGTGTCCCAGCCCTTTGATCAGCTCTGAGGCCCTTCTTTCAAGCCTCTCCAGCCTGTCCACATATTTTTTTGTATACTGGAGGCCAAAACTGGCCAGATGTGGCCTGACAAGTGCCAAGTAAAGTGGGATGATGCCTTCTTTTTCTCCACTGGCTATGGGTTGCATGGAGTTTTCCAAATAATAAAAGAAACCAAATACTACCCCAAAAGCAGCCAAACCCCCAGTGCCATGTATTCAGCAATGCTCGGAGTGCACACGTCTCTTCAAAACCCCAGGACAGGGGCTGTGTGAGGAGACAGGCCCTCACCTCAACACAGGGCACCTGCAGCCATTCTGCTGATGGCAAGAAACAATCCTCCTTGCCTGCAGTGCAGAGAAGACATGCTGCAAAACATCGTGGAGAGAAGCCACAGCTTGCCTTCAAGTAAATCCACTGCCTCATCTTCTTGTTTTCACTTCTGCTTTTTCTTCTCCCAAGTGTGATGCTATTAAAGAGTAAACAGTTTTTTCCGCCAAACACTCAGGGTAGCAATCAAGCCTGTTAACTGAGTTTTGGTGCTCACCTCGTAGCTTTGCCATCTTCAAGGGCAAGAGAAGAGGCATCACAGCCCACCAAAGGTAGAGAGGTTACAGCAGGGCTGCTGACAGCAGACTGACAGGTCACAGGTTTTGGGTGGCAAGGGCCATCTCTCAACTGCGGGTGCACCCGATGGAGGTGGCACAACAACCCTGCAAACTTCAGGTAGAGCAACGGGGATGGATGTTGCAGCCATGCAGCCTCCTCAGCTCTGTAAAATGCCCATTCCAGTCCTGATCATGAAGTAAATTTGCTAGTTGTGTTTCACAATGGGGAGTAAAAAACCCAGAAATCACTGTCCTCGGTTCAAGCCCATTGGCACTTGGAAACAATCTTTTCCAGCTGTCTCTATCACAGCATTTCAAGAAATCTGACCTATGGCATAGCTTTGAATGCCTAAAGAAGATGTAACCTTCAGCAGGTAGTTCTGTTGGTTGATCTCCACTAAAGTCCACTAGCAAGATACATCCTGCTCTCTAAAAGTTCATCACTACTCAACTGACTTCAGAGAGAGGGTAGTACCCTGGATTTGGGCAAACTTGACCTAACTATAACCTTTGGCCTTTAACCAACTTGCTGAAGTTGAAACTCTACCATAGCCAACTTGTTAAAAAAACACCTGGATCTTTTTCTCTAAAAATCCTCCAGCCCTTCACAGATGTCAAACTAGGGCTTTGTGGCACCCAGCCTCCAGGCAGAAAAACAGTCCTGGTGCATCAGGAGTAAATTCCATGGCACTGGAATCATGACAGAAGAATACTGCAAAGTGAGTAATAGTTAAAAATTGAATGGATCAGGTTGCCATTAACAGGTTTCAGCACAAAGACTGCAGTGACTGTGATGCTCATTTTCTCATCCCTTTTGCTATGAGCTGCTGCAGCCTCAGCAGTGGAAAATGCACCAGGTCCCCTAAGCATTCTCTGTCCTGCCAGCAACTTCTCCCATAATTTTTCAACAGTGCAGAAAAGAAACAACAACAAACAAGCAATAACAACAACAAAAATCCCCAGAAGCAAGAGTGTAATAAAACTCTGCAACAAAATCATTATTTTAATGCAAGCTAAAGTGCTGACCTTTTGATGTAGCAATGCAACTAAGGTGACTTGGTCTACACTGGGACATTTTCAAGTGAGTTAACACAGGGCATCCTCTTTCTTTATGTGAGTCACCTCAGAAGAGGTGACTGTGAAAGAGAGAAGTTTTTTTTATCTTCTAGAAATACACTACAGCTGCTAAGTAGTATTTGTGCTGGAATCTGGTAGGTTCTTTCAGAGTTGTCTGGTGGTTGTTGTTGTTTTTTGTTTCAATTACCACTTCTAGATATGTTCTACAGAAGGTGTGAGCCCCATTGGAAAATAAGTATTACAAGGCCTTCCTTACAATTTTATACAGCTGAAATTGCTTTTGTTGGTTATCCTTTCATGGATCTCTGAAGGAGCCCAGAGTCTACCAGGGATCTATAAAGCACAGATCAAAAGCCATGAGGATCAATCCATTTACCCAGCATACTTCACACTTCTCCTAGAGCTTCTGAATCCACCAGGTTCCCAAGGCAGGGGGCACTACTTCATTATAAAAATTTGCACACAGATCCACTGTGATTATTGCCCCCCCATACTCCTACCTTGTTGCAGTAAATTTTTTTACTCTGGTAATCAGCACTAAGTTATTTTTATAATAAAAGAAGAAAACTCAGGTAGAGAGCACAAATAAGTGACCAGTTGTCTTACAATTTGGAGGGTCAGACCTAAAACAGTATAACATAATACAAGGATTTCCTCATT